TGAACCTGTGGCTATTGCAGTGTAACCCACAATAGGAGCTCAGTTGTTGCCAACTGAACTAGGGATGCCGATCCCTTTTGTTAATAGTATACTAACAATAGCGATAGTAAAAAACAAAAAATTATCACGTGACAAATCATCACGCCGCAGCCGCAGCCGAAGTTTAACGTTAAAGTCAAAAAAGCATATAAACATATGCTTTTTTTTAAACTTCGTCTTTTCTTTTGAACACTTCGGAAACTATGCTTAAGTGTTCTTTCTTCTTAACTTCAAAAAAAAAATTATTTTTATTTATTATTTTTTTTTCAGCGAAATGTTTAACATTTCGTAACTAACATTTCGTTTAAACACCTTACCCTTGTATAAAAATACCTGCTTGTTCTGCTTCTATAAAAAAGAAAAATTAACCATCCTACAAAAAGCAACTATGTAACCGTTCTTAGTCAACTAAAGAAAAAAGCCATTTTTTTATACTTTCTTCTTTTAGGTTTGGGAACTACAATTCGAAACAAGGTTAGTATTTCTTTTTCAATTTCACTGCGTCAGGCGCGTCACCCCTATTTTATTAAAATTACCTTCTTTCTTTAGGTCCGGCAGTTAGACTACAATTTGGAAAGAAAAAAAGGGTTAGTATTACATTTAAGTTCACCGCATTACCCCATTTCATTAAACTTACCTCTTTTTCTTTTTTTAGGTTCGAAGCTATACTTGAAAAGAAGGACGCGGTGGAATTTCGAAGGTATTTTTACCTTCATTTTTTTTGTTTTATTTAAACGAAACGTTTACTAACGTTCGTTTATTTTCTTTTATTAGGTTCCGGACGGCCATTTTTTCTGTTGCGTGGGTTTTCGGGTAAAAAGACTAAATTTTTTTTATTATTTTTGAACGAAACGTCCGTAACTAACGTTTCGTTCTTTTTTTAGGTTTCGTACGTGGGTTTTCAGGGTCATTTCGAAGGTAAAAAGACCTTCAAAATGTTTTTTTTTTTATTCCTTTTTTTTAAACGAAACGTTAGTAACTAATGTTTCGTTTTTTTTTAGTTCCAGGCGTGAGTTTTCAGCGATTTCGAAGGTAAAAAGACCTTCATTTTTTTATTGTGTTTTTTTGAACGAAACTAATATTTCTAGGTTTCGGGTGTAGAAATTCGAAGGTAAATGACCTTCGTTTTTTAGTGTGTTCATTTTTGAACGAAACGTTTACTAACGTTTTCGTTTTTCTTGTTTTATAGGTGCTTTTGGATGGGGATTCAGGCAAGTTTTTTCTTGCATTTTTTAACGAAACATTTGTTAATGTTTCGTTTTTATTTTGTAGGTTCTTGGATGGCTCTTTACGCGAGATTTCAAGTAGTTTCTTTAGCTTTCTTAGACGAATTTTCAATGGCATTGGACTACTTTATTAACAACTTAATTTTTATTTTATTATGTAGAATTTACATTAGACATTAGATTAGTTAATAGATACAATTTGTAAAGTAATAATAATAAATTAAAGCTTGTAAATAATTTTAATAAACGCGGTACTTTACATAAAATTATATTAATTTACGCGTTTTTCAACTACCATTGTGTTGTTCTATGCTTAAAATATGTTGTACTACGCGTTTTTAAATGGTGTTGTTTTACGCTCTACACTTAAATGGTGTTGATTTACACGATTTTAAATGACAAAGGGTTCGTTGCTCAACACTATTTGGCGTTGAGCAACACATTAAACGCCCTTCCAAAATTTCCTGATGTGCCTTATTCATCTCCTAAATATGATAAATACTGAAGTATGAACTATGAATTGTTCGCATAAGAAATATTTGTATATCGTAAAGTTAAAAAATCCTGCTAAGGTGAGAAGAAACGCCTTTGTTTTGAATTTTATTTGAATAGTAATCTTAACTTGAAAGGGAGCATACTTGCAGGCCGTATTGGTTCTATAAATTACTGTCTCTTTTGTTCTATTTCTTTAAAGGAAAAGCTCTGCTGAAGAATAATTATTTATAGAGAACCACCTGAGCTATCACGTGAATATTTGGACATTTATTTATTATAGAACATATAATTAAATATTTCTATATGTAACTTTATTGGCGCTACAACTTTAATTAGTCACAAAAGGTAAATTAGAAATACCGATTTTGAGTTTTCTATGAAGAAACTGCTAAAAATATCAAAACGGAACACAAAAATTAATTTTAAACTTTATCTGTTGAGTAGATAACTCTGAAAATTGGTAATTATATATAGATATATTGGCGTTACAACTTTATTTACAGATGAAATATAGATTAAAAATGCTGATTTCAAATTTAATATGAAAGAACTGTAAAAATTACTGCGCCATTCGATTTTCATTTTTAAATTTTTGATGGAAGATTCTTTAAAACTATTATTATTATAACATTAATAAATTGTGTTTTTTAGAAAGAAAAAGACTTGATTATATTTGTGTTAAAATAGCAAGAAGTTACAATCATTAGAGTTTAATGTTATGATATAAGCGAAAGTTATGAATTGGCTTTTTTACATATAAAAATTGCGAAAATGCAGTGTGTCGATCCCTTAATTAAAGCACTTCCCGTTTAATTAAAAGACAAATCTCGTGTAACATTGAATTAAGAAAATTTACCGCGCCACATTTTTTAAGTTTTTACAATTGGCATAAAAATTTGGGGACATATCCTGTGACCGATATAGAATTTTATAAGACAGTTATGTTGATTAAAATCTTATTGTGTAACCATCGAGTTAGCCCCCCCTTACCCCTCGATAAAATATCTTTTATAAAGATAAATTCTTATAAGAAGTATGATTATATAATGTAACTATATAGAAAACCGATTGTATATAAAATTTAAATATAAAAATGTAATTAAATAGTATAGTAAAAATAAAAT